TGGTTTTTCGAGACAGGGTTTCTCTGTGTAGCTTTGCGCCTTTCCTGGAACTCACTTGGTAGTCCAGGCTGGCCTCGAACTCACAGAGATCCTCCTGGCTCTGCCTCCCAAGTGCTGGGATTAAAGGCGTGCGCCACCACCGCCCGGCGTATTTGTGTATTTTTTAATAGAGAGTAGAAAACTGTTAAATGTGACAACCTCCTGTTCTGGAACATATCTAAATGTAATCAGCTCTTATTTTTTTCTTTTTATTATAATTACATAGTATTAAGTAATATGAGCCTTATACCTGTCATAATTTAGTTTTGTAGTTTTTATATTATGAAAAAATGTATGATTTCACTTTTAGCTGTTGGCGCTTCTATTGAGGAGTTACTGTATTTGCAGTTAGAGTTTTCTTTACCAATTTTTTTAATCAACCTTGGTAGTAGTTCTTAAAATTAGAGTTGCTTTATGTCTTACTTAGGGTTTCTATTGCTGTGAAGAGACACCATGACCATGGCAGCTCTTATAAAGAAAAACATTTAACTGGGGCTGGCTTACAGTTCAGAGGTTTAGTCCATTATCATCGTGGCAGGAAATTGCAGCGTGCAGGCAGACATGGTGCTGGAGAAGGAGCTGAGAGTTGTACATCTGGATCCGCAGGCAGCAGGAGAGAGTGAGCCACTGGGCCTGACTGGAGCATCTGAAACCTCAAAGCCCACCCCTGTGACACACTGCCTTGGGTTTGGGGTCAGAAGCTTCAGAATTGGAGTTAGAAGTATCTCTGAGACGCCAGCTTGTTACATGGAGGCTGGGATCCAAACTCTTGTCCTAACGATTGTGCAGCAGGCACACTCAGCCCCTGAGCCATCTCTAGCCGTGATGTCTAAGGCATTTTAGTCATGTTAAAATGTTATATGCATTTTAACATTTCTGTTCTGTGCTTTCGTCACTAATATTCATCCAAGTCAGCGTTATGCTATGAGTTATTATTATTCCTTTCCATTTGGAGTGATGTTTACTTTCCTGCCAGCACGTTCTCTCCATAACTAACTCCACAGCCAATGGGATTGTAAGACCTTGACTTCAGGGCCACTGTTTACTGCTTGATAGGACTGCTTTATTTCTTACTCTTGTTGCAAAGTTGTAAGTGAGGTGTGCTTTTTAAGAGGGAGAGTGATGCATTTGTTCTTTTCCGATGCAGATCCTGAAATGGAGACTGAAGACCAGCCGTCTTCTGAAAAGGACTCTCAGAATCAAAGTACAGAACAGATACTGTCCCTTCCTCAGACAGTTGACCTGGTTGATCAGGAGACCCCTGAAAACCCCCTAGATTCTCACTCCGAGTCTTCATCTCCAGCAGACATCGAAGAGGCTGCTGGCTTTGCCCCTTCTGAACAGTTATCTAGTTCCACAGAAAGCCTTGAGACTACAAGTCTTGATGGTGAATGTACAGATTTAGATAACCAACTTCAAGAACAATCAGAAACTGAGGAAGATTCCAATCCTAATGTTAGCTGGGGTAAAAAGGTCCAGCCTATAGACTCCATATTAGCAGACTGGAATGAAGATATAGAAGCATTTGAAATGATGGAGAAGGATGAACTCTGACTCTGTAAGGACTCTGGTGGTAGACATTGAAAAAGAAGAGGTAAACTGTGGTTTTTGATACCCTATACCAAGCAGGCGCTCCTGGGAGGCTCTGAGCAGTGCTCAAAGCACGTTCTGACTGGGGTAAGTAGTTACTGTAGGAATCTGGAGCATGCTGTGTTAGAGCTGACCTCACCAAAACTGTCCTATCCAAAGTGGAAACTCACAACCCCTCAAATGATGGTATTACATCCCCTGCAGCTCCCAGGCCAGGGGAGGATGGCTGGCCATTCCTGGGTAGACAGGACACGAATTCTGCTGATGGGAGGTGGGAACTCCAGCCAGTGCAGCTTTCTTATTGAAGGGAGCTTCACTGCCTTGGGTTTGGGGTCAGAAGGTCTGCTGAGAAGATTTGAATGAGTGCTGTGGTACTCTGGCCTTGCTGCCTTCACGGGAACACTTTAAGTGACCTGCAGGTTATGAAGCAGAGGCATCCATAGTAACAACTGTTTCTGCTCATCGCTTTCACCTGCTTCATTCAGTGAGAAATGGTCAAGATGACTTGATTGCTTTTTCTCTCCCAACAATGTCCTTGCATTTAAACCAAAGGTGAAGCCAGTGTACTTTCTCCAGTGAGTTTTCCTATAAAGACCTACTGTGGGGCCAGGAAGAGGGTCATATAGATAGAGTGGGAACTGGTTGCTTGATACCAGGGGTAAGTAGAGAGAAAGAGAAACTCTAATGTTGCAATCTCAACTTCGCATTGGGCCATAGGGGAAGCTATGACTACTCTAAGTGGGAATCAGCATTAGCTCCTTGGGTGGATGAGATGTCTTTCCAGTTCCTTTCTCTAAGGTGGTTTCTCTAGCCATCAGCCTTACTCCATCCCATGTTTAGTGTCCAGTTTGAGCCAGAAGGCTCCTCCCAAGCCTTGTTCCATTTCCCTCTCTTATGGAGCCATGATAACCCATAGTAATGGTCTGCAGTCCCGGGGTGACTACCACCTTTCTCCTTTGAAGTTGGTCTCTAACATCACACCTAAGGAGTCTGTCACATTTTTTGATGAATCATGGATTTAGGTTTATTTAATTTTGTTTTAACAAATACTCCTTCTGATGTGGACTTGAAAATTAGCCCTTGGTGACCTGTGTAAAAAACAAAAACAAAAACTATATAGCCATATAAGAAAAAAAAAAGGTTTCCTTCCTTCCTTCCTTCCTTCCTTCCTTCCTTCCTTCCTTCCTTCCTTCCTTTCTTTCTTTCTTTCTTTCTTTCTTCCTGTGGCAGTCTGGGCTGGCCATATTTATTATTTTTGGTTTTGCTTATTGATAGTTCTACATTGGAATCATGGTTTTATTCATTTTATTTATTTTTAAACTTATTTTAATTACTTCTAAAGGAATATTTGAGAGACTTCATTCCTTTTTACCATGGCATTACACCATAATCTTTTTCTAAAACATGGTTTTGAGGTACTGAATAACTTAGACTATACACGGAGCTATTAAAGACAGTAGGGCTGTATTGTAGTTGTGTATATTCATGTACAGTTTGTCTTAGGTCCCAGGTAAACATACCCTTTCATAAGGGGATGAATACCTGCTTTCAAAAATTCCAACTAAGCATAATTGGGTCAGTGAGTAATAAATCTTAGAGAATTCCCTGGGGGACGGGGTAGTATAACAAGTCCTTTATTGGCTCGTAGTTAAACCTGACACCAAAATGGGTATTTTAGTCTCTCTGCATGTGAAGTTTGGTGCAGGGAGTTAGAGCTGTAATACGTACGTAGTGCATACAGAGGGTAGACGTGCTTTGTTGTCCTAATTTCAAGGCTGCGAGATGGCGGAAGCTTAGCCACTTGACTTGGTTTACGGACTGGGGCTTGGAGAAAGGAACACTGTTCCTCTGATGCTTTGATTGCAGAAGCCGTATATGCATTGATTTTGTATTTGTAGCTCAAAGCCGTTGTTGTCTAAACCTAACTCTTTTAAGTTATCAAAGCAGCATCATTTTTTTCTCTCAAGAACTTAATGGCATGAAGGATCCCATGACATGCAAGGAAAGGCCAGCTTTCTGCCACTCGCTGTTCCTTTGGCCACCAGGAGGCGCTGTTGCCCTTCAGTAAGGTTTAGATGGGCTTATTGATTTGTTTAGAAAACCAAATCCTTTAAAGAAATAAATTTAAAATGTTTTACTTACTATCTAGAAGGAATAATCCTCAGTTTTTCCCATAAGAAGGAGGTATATGTTCCACTTCCAACCACAGCATTCTAGCTAATTCCACATTCATTTTCTTATTTGACATACTGCCGCAAGTAGTCTTTGAGTTCATTAGAAAATTTTAACAGCATAGATTTTTTTTAATGTTTTTTTGTTGTTGTTTGTTAAAAACTTTTCATAGATATTTTATTTACTTGCTGAAGATTCAGGGAATTCTGAGACCCTGAGTTTAGAAACATCTGGTCTACCTCAGTTAAATGTTGACTGCTTAGAAATCGAGCTGAAATGATCACCACAGCCATAAAATTGTTTGACTAAGAAAGATTTATATAATGTTTACAAACCTGGAATCAAGTATGGATCTTACCTGAAAGTTAAAAGTTACCTGTTAGAGCAAGTATTTAATTCAGGTATTTTCAAGTTTTAAAACTTGTTTGCCTAGTAAAAATAGGTATAGTTTTTTTTTCCTCACATAGAAAGTCCATTGAAATTATATTCCCTAATTTGCAATGTTTTCCCCATAAAATTTAAGTGTGAAAGAACTGTAGTTTACTAGATATGTTTCAGGTGGGATATTTTGTTAGGTTTCCTTTTTTCTTTTTAACCTATGTAATAAGCTTCCAAAAAGAGTATAATTATTTCAGAACAAATTATTTTGTAATTTTCCTTTCCCTTTTTCTTTACAGTGTTAGATATTTTAAAATGAAAAATTATGCACTCTCTGACTTTAATTTCACTAATGTAATGATTTTCTCGGGAATTCTTTTAGTTTCAAATTACCATCAGATAAACCTTTCTTATAGCAAAGCCAGCTTTGTTCCTCACCAAAGCCCTGCCAGGTTCATCATGAAGAAGCTCAGCCTAAGTAATTCAGGTAGTGCTTACCATTTTAGAGGGTGGGTAGCATTTAGGAAATACTCCAACTGGTTGTTTTATGCGCAAGGCTACAGTCAGAACATAGAAAAAAACATTCTGTGAATGAAACATTGTATGTTCAGATTTTATAAAAGACATTTTTAAAGCCCAATTTACAGCCGTATATTTTCTTATGATGTAATTTATGAAAAAGCCGTCTGTACTAACAGGTGCTGTAACACTACTGTTGTTGGGTTTTATCGTTTGGTGATAAATGTATACAATATTTCTAATGGAAACTATGTACTGTGATGTAAAAGTCTGGGCAAAATGTATATAATCCTTGTATATAATTGTGTATTGATTATATTACTGATTGTAAATTTAATAAAACATGTAAATATTCTGGTCTAGTTTTAAATTTTGAATTTTTAAAATCATTGTGCAAATATCTAGAATTTGGTATCTCTGTTTTCTTTTTGTTTCTCTTTACTGCAGGGCAGTGAATTGGGGGCATTTTGGGTATAGAAACCCAGACAAACATCAGTTCTAAAACTCATAGTGCCTAGTTCAAACTAGAGTTGAAAATAAATGCTAATAATTCTGCATCAATATTGGTAACATTTATGTCTTGAATTTACTTAGATTTAATAAGGTGACTTGCCCTCTTTTAATATCATCAAAAGTAGCTCTGGTAGTTTCTATTGTTGTATTGAAGACTGTGGCCAAAAACAGCTTTGGTTTCTGAGGGCTAGGAGTCACCACCATCATGGCAGGGGGTGGTGGCCACCAGCCGTAGTGACAAACAGCTGAGAGCACACATCTAGGAAACTGGGGTGGCAGGAAGCTTTTGAAACTTCAAAGCGTTCCCCAGGGGCACTTCCTCTAGTAAGGGCACACCCCCTGTCCCTCCCCAAACAGTGTCACCAATTGCAGATCGGACCAAGTATTCAAACGCCAGAGCCTATGACGGCTAGAGAGTGGTGGCGGCACATTATTAAAGCCACCACAGCCGGGTGGTGGTGGCACACGCCTTTAATCCCAGCACTCGGGGAGGCAGAGGCAGGCGGATCTCTGTGAGTTCGAGGCCAGCCTGGTCTCCAAAGCGAGTTCCAGGAAAGGCGCAAAGCTACACAGAGAAACCCTGTCTCGAAAAACCAAAAAAAAAAAAAAAAAAAAGCCACCACAGTAGCTGTGGTCCTTTTCTCTTCATCCTAGGAGGCCATTTCCTTTCAGGGGTACTCTGCAATGGCCCCGATCTCCTCTCTCTTCCAGGATCTGAGCAGATGCACTAAAAGCTACATAATGACCGTTATCGTTTGTAAGACCGGAACAGGTTCCAAGCGTCTTACGGTGCCAAATTTAGTGACTGGGCAGTGGAGGGCAGCGCTGGTTCAATTCCAGAGGCCACCCTCTTCTGTCTTCCTCAGCCCTGATTCTCTCCAGTTCCTGCTTGCTTTTTGATCAGTCACACACCCTTCCTGCTTGGCATGCCTCTCCCTCTGAAATTGGGGATTAGGATTGACAGCTTCTGTTCCGGGGGTGTCTGGGCAATTAGTCCAGCCTTAATATGAAGATTCCTGATCTGTAAAAGAATGCACTTTGGCTAGCCCAGGTTAAGGCGGGAGAATTCGGTTAGAAAGCCTGTGGTACTCTGGAAGGCAGGTACCTATACCACCGGCTTGATCTTACCGACTGCAGCAGGTGATGCTGAGGCAATGTTGGGGTTTATACTAGCATGTGCCTGCCCAGAGTCAAAGCTTCCTCACATGGTTGACCAGAGAACCAGAGACCGAAGTTAGAGGAACTTTAGTCTGGGGGAGGTGGGGGGGGGGGTGGCTGTTTCCACACGAGTCCCGCACATCACCAACTAGCTGCCTTCCTCCGCTTTCTCCGCCCGCTGTCTTTCCAGCTTCAATCCATAGGCTAGTCAAAGCTGCCCCTAGACATGGGCCCAGACAGCTGCTACTACTGGAAATGCTAAGCCATGCAGCTATCTCCTGCCTACCTTAGAACTATTAAACATTCAATTCCAGCCTGCCTTTGCTGGCAGCCATGGGGCTGGACAGTTTCGTGGCCAGACTCCTCTTAACCCACCTTCAAAAGGGCCCTTTGCCTTGAGCACAGATGGAAATCTGGGGAAAGGTTTTCTGAGTGTGGAGCAGGTCCAGGAGGGCTAAAGCCCAGGCTATTCATTCCACACACCCATATTTGGTGTTCAGTCCCCATGAATTCGATGGCCATGATGACACAAGCCAAGTGTGCCTAGGGATTTCCCACTCAGAATCTGTGATACGCCAAGCAACCTGGTCAATCTTCCAGCCATCTTGGAGAGGACATTCTGGTCTGACGGCTTTCCTTTTTGAGCATGCCCAGTCCATCCCAAACCAGCCATGACCCCACCCAGAAGGGCTTTCCCATATGCAAGTGCATAGGCTTTCTGAAGGAAGTCCCCCACCCGTTCTTTGTCATGGGACATTTGCTGTTTGGGGGGCCACAGCCTGAGCTCTCATGCCTTCAGGCAATAGGAATCTACTCTTGTATATCTTGGCTGTGACTTTTTGGCTTTCACTCATGGAGATGTGCATTCATTGTTTGGTTATTTTACTGCATGACTAAAGCCACTTTTTTAAAGGGACGTGATCTCAGTCTGTAATCATCAGACCTATTTCTCAGCTTTGTTTGCCAGGTTAATGGCACCAGGACCCCCATTTCCATTTGGCCCTGTCGAGTTTCCCAGAATCAGTATCACTCCTGGTCTACCTTCCCACCTCACCTAATACTTGGCATTTCTTTCTTTTGTTGAGCTAAATTGGCAAAACCTTAAATATGAAGCCCGATTGCCGCCACGGCTTATGCAGTTATTCATGAATAGCTTCTGGGACTGGATGAAATCAAATCCCACTGCTGACCAGCCTCACTTAAAATCATGGCTGAACATGTCAGGTGAGATTCAGTACTTTCTCAAATTCTAGCCCCATCTCTCTGATAGATGTTGGCACCTTGGAATAAGTTTCATCCTCCTTCCAAATCTCCCACATTCATCCCTTATCATCAAAGAAAATGGATGCAAATAAGGATTCAGAATTCACCAATCCATCACTATGTGTGCTTGTTTACACAGATGTCTCCCTGAAGGAGTCCAAGGACTCTCTCTACCCCCAGGCTACAGAATCGGAACCTCAAATGAGTCAGATGTACTGAAAAATGAGAAAACAAACTATTAGACTCCATTGGAGCCCAAGGGTGAAGGGACCCTGGCCCTCTAAATCCCTTTCCACATGCATCAGGAGCATCCCTTGACCTCCATCACTGAGCCACGTGAACAAAGTGCTGGGTGGCAGGTTACAATAAGAAGTCTCATCTAGTCACTGAAACCGAGCATCGCTTTGTCTTGATCTTGTTGTAGTCTACTGCTAGTGAAAGTGCAAGCTGGCCCCAGAAGAGAGGGAGAGACAGAGAGACAAAGAGGGGGAAAGAAATTTTGTATATAATAATGCACAACAAAGTTTGTTTATTTCTTTTTAACTCCAGTATCTATTTCAGGAACCTAAAAAGATAACTAGCAACAAGTCCACATGTCTCCTTCAAATGCTAGAGAAAAGAATGGAGATGTGGATACATCTGAATGTCTACAGGATAATGTTTGATAATACTATATAATACATCCAGGCAGAGCAATAAAGAATGGTGTGCATATGTTAAAATGTGTGTAAGGAGCGTTGAGTGTCGAAGGGCATGCTTTTCAGTGCTGATTGGTGCAGCAACAATATCTTGCCCTTGCTATTCACCAGACACTGAACTATGCTCTGGGAATCCTGGAGTGATACCATTCCAGACCATTCAGGACCATTCCAGATCTTGTTTTTATTTACTGTCACGTCCAGAAAGCACTAAACAAGAATTACCAAAGCAATGAGGCTTTTGAAAATGGACAGTCTAGATACCAAGGGAAGGTATAACTTGAGGATTCAGCCCAGTAAGCTGAAGTAAAACCTGAAGCTGTGCTGTGGCGGATGCCAAGTTTTTTGAGATGCCCTAGCTCCACAGATTAGGACTGTGAGTCTTTCCAAAGGCTAAAGGGTTTTGATCTATCATAAGGATTTTGAGTTTTGTTCTAAGGGTAGTGAGAAAACACTAAAGGGTTTTATATAAATCAGTGGCTGTGGTGGTATTTTAATTGTGCTGAAATGTGATTTTATTTGTATGTTAATAAATAAAGTTTGCCTGGAGATCAGAGGTCATAGCGAGCCATAAACAGAAGTCAGGCAGTGGTAGCCCATGCCCTTAATCCGATCACATGGCAGGCAAAGTCTCTGTGTGGTCAAGGACACAGCCAAGCATGGTGACATGAGCCTTTAATCCCAGTACCAACCGTAGAGACCTGGAGGTCTGTATAGACAGGCAGTGATGAGGAAGTCACTTAGAGCCAATGAGAAGGCAGAACAGGAAAGCAATAAAAACACAAGTCAGAAAGGAAAAAACTCTCTCTGGGGAAGCTACTTCTGGTGGTAAGCTAAATCTAATCGTGGCTATTGCTCTGATCTCTTTGGCTATTTCCTCTGTATTTGGCTCTGTGTTTCTTATTTACTAAGACTGTTTAGAAATTCATCTACAAGTGGCTTGTTGGAATATAAGTGCACTCAGGTACCATTATGCTGAGGGAGTACAGTGTGGGGAAATGGGAGAGAGAGACAGAGCAATTCACGTGCTGGGGAGAGAGGCAGATCTGAAGAGGAACGGGCTGACATAAATGGCCTGCTTGCCACCCGGGGCCATGGTGATGTCCGGGCCTAGTCTGCTGCCGAGGGCCATGACTTGGTCCATGTCCCTGACTCAGCGATGGGGGTCTGTGTTGATGTCCATGGCTCCTGTTACCACTGAGGGCCCTGCAGATACCTGGAATCTGAGCCACCTCCTGTGACCATGTTGGTGTCCAAGGGATGTGCCCCACAGGGGCCATGCCCATCTGAGAGGCCTACACTGCCACCCAGGAACATGGGGCCATGCCTATTCAGGAGGCCTGCATTGCCACCCAGGACTATGATGACATTCAGGCCTGAACTGCTCCAGGGGCGATGGTGGGGGGGGGGGGATTTCTGGCTGGGTGTATGGCCCTGCTGTAGCCAGACTCGAGTTGACATCCATGGCTCCTGTTGCCACCAGGGGCCACGCAGAGGATGCAGTCTGGGCCAACACCTGAGGCCATGTTTATCTATGAGGGTCAAGCTGCTGCTGGGGAAGTAAAGACCTGGGTGGCCTGTCCTGCCACCCCCGGGCCATGGTGTTGTCTGGACATGAACTGTGGCTGAGGGCCATGTCTGGGTTTGTGGCCCTGCCACAGCCACGGTCGGTGTTGATGTCCGTGGCTCCTGTTACCACCAAAAGCAATGTGGCCAGGGCTGCAC